CTGTGTATCCCAGTGCTTCTCGCTCTCCACTGCCCCTTCTGTCCTGGGTCTTCAGGACTCTGCCCGGCCACTGAACTGCTTCCCTGAGCATGCTGGCGTGCTTGGGCTCGACTTCACATTTCATCAGCAGACAGTGGACGGCTCCTTGACTTCCTGCCCCTCCTGCTCAGCCCCATTCTCTGCTCTCCTTGGTGGCTGAACAGATGTCTTGGTAGGCCATGTGTGCTTCATGTCTGTGCTCCTCTTATTGTCCCCAGCGCTTCACGTTGGCCCTTCCCAGTTTGCCCTTCCTCTTGGGAGCTTGCTTATCACTGTGGGCTGGTACAGCCTTGCTGCCCCAGCTGGCCGTGTGTGCAGCAGGCTGTATCCACTGCCACCCTGCTGCTGGTACTAGGAGCATTCCTGGATCCATCTCAGCTGCCCAGGAGCCCTTCCCTGCCTGTCTTTGCTCTGGCTCCCCTGCCTTCTGTTGCTTTCTATCAGGTCTCACCATGTGGGGAAGCACCTACTTGCTTGTTTGCTTAAGGTCTGTTTTCTGCTCACTGCCAGTGATAAAGGCAACTCCAGACTCCCTTTTCTGTACTCACCTCTAAGCTTTTCTGTCAATTCCAAACTCCCTTTTCTGTGCTCAGCATTGCAGTGCCAGGACCTGCAGCCCACATTTCTGCTTTTCCAGCCAGTACTCTGGTTGGGCTCTTCAGTAGGGGTGCTAGAGAGAGGCCCATGGCTAGGCTGGGGGTGGGGGGCTGTTCTTCCCCTGCCTGTGGTGTCATTTCAGTGACCTTGCCTTACTTCATGCCAGTCGCTGAGGTCCTGGCTCCCACGGGCTGGTGCCCTTCCTCAGAAGTCTGGGCTCCCGTGGGACAGACACCAGCAGTGCCTCCTCTCAAAGGCTCAGTTCCTGTTCCAGGGGCACCCTCCGCTATGTTTCTAAATTTTAATCAGTTTAGCCTCCTCCCTTTGTTCCCGCAGCCTAAGGAATGGTAGCTGCTTCCTGAAGTTACTGCCTCCTTGATACCTTAGGATTCTGTCTTATCTCCTTTCATTTACATTGGTACCTACACATTGTAGTAAATTCTCTCTGTTCAGTATTTGTGGTTCCTTTGGTTGAGGTGCCTACCAGTAGAACAAAGGCCTGTTGAGACCAGGATGGTGATGGTGTGTGCCTAGACAGTTCGTAGCTGGACCCCCACATGTGTTCTGTTCATCAGGTGGGTTGAATGGATGATTTTCTGAGCCAGGTCTGCGTTGCTAGTGGTCCTGAGGGAGGCTCTGCAGAGGCTGTTCTGCAACTTCATCTCCCTGTTACCTGCTTCAGTTGGACTTTGAAGTGTAGTTCTGACTTCAGGAACGATGGGTGCCAGCTGAACATCAGGCCTGGGGAACATGGTCCTGAGGAGATGGGGCCCGACTGTGCTCAGCCTGATGGGCCTCAGGCAGGCATGTCTCACCGCCCACTGTGCTGTGCGACCTGCAGTCTGGGGTCCAGCTACGAACTGTGTAGGCACACACCATCACCATCCTGGTCTCAACAGGCCTTTGTTCTACTGGTAGGACCTCTTCCCCTCGTGACTTCGTGAAGTGTTACTCCTGGGAGAGGAAGGGTTTTCTTTATAACCTGGCAGGCAAGATTTTCCAGCCTGGGTTCGGCCCCCGCCCCTTCAAGGCTTCATCTTATCTCTGAGGTACCGCTGGACACACACTTCCGATTATATCCTGTAACATCTTAGAGCTGGCCAGAGGCTCGGGTTGGGCCACCTCAGTGCCTGCTCTCTTGTTCGTGGAGGCGGCTGAGGCTCAGTGGCAGCTAGTGGGTTGGGAGGCTGGCGCAGACTACATCTAGGGTTCCTGGTGCACGGTCTTGGCATCTGGCTCTATTGCACTGAGCGCTGGTCCTCAAGCAGTGGAAGTTTGGACTCTGGAGAAGGACAACAGTTATCATGTGGCCGTGCATTTATTTGCACTCGCTCTTGGTGGGGAGGACTCCAGCCACATGTGACTGCCACACGGATATGAGAGTACCATGCACCCAAAATGCTGGGCTTGGGGTATGTCAGTCTCCCTTCCATACTGCCTCGGCTAAGGGCAGCTTCTCAGAGCAGCTCCTTACCTGTCCACCTGGTCAGGCATCTGTTTCTCTGCCCCGTCACCTGAAAGATGGCATTAGCCACATTTTTGCCTTTGCATGCCTGGCTTTAAAACAGCACTGGGAATGATATCATTCTTCTAATTAAATTACCCATACTGGAGCAGTGATTTAAAGAGCTTGTGAACTTACCCACCTGAATTCAATGATTTAAGAGTCGATTTCACAGTCCTTGATTATTAAATTGGCCTATGAATAGTTTTACATTGAACTGTAATTCAAAATGGCCTTTTAATATGTCTGTTTCCAATGGATATTTGTACTTGTTTTTTATTTGATTTTATGTTTTTTTGTTATGGAGGACCTCGGAGTGGCGGGTGGCAGCCAACCAATTCAGTATTTGCATTAAGTATCGTGTAAGACTTTCTGAGATGACTCATCTGTTAGGAAAACTTCAAAACTGTTTTTCCTCTGCAGTTACACCACAGCTATCAACACAAAAGATTTCTGTGACCAAATGTGTGGGGTTTTTTCCCCACCACCCAGCAAGCAATCAGTGCTGCAGTGACACCAGCTGGATGTCCTCTCACTCAGTCATGATACTCTCTACCTGGAGAGCGTGTCTGATCTCACAGGTGGAGGACTCAGGCCCCAAGTCTGACCCCTCCATTTTTGGTGCCAGTTGTAAGATCCGGTTGTTTGATCTGTACTTTTGACGACCAGCTGTAAATTGGTGTTCCTCAAACCCCCTCTGTGGGTTTGGCTAATTTGCTAGAGTGCCTCCCCGAACTCAGGGAAGCTTATGTTTGCTGGCTTATTTTAGGGGATGTCGCAGAGGATTCAGATGAAGAGAAGTGTGGGGCAAGGGTTGGGGAAGGGGTGCGGAGCTTCCATGCCCTCCTCAGAGTGTGCCGCCCTCTAGGAATCTCCCCGTGTTCAGCTATCAGGAGGCTTCCCTGGACCTGTCCTTTCATGTGGAGCCTTCAGTATGTAGGCATGACTGACCGAACCGCTGGCCATTGGTGATCACAGCTCAACTTTCAGCCCCTCTCTCTGCCTGGGAGGTTTTGGAGTGGACTGAAGGTCCCAAGCCTCTAACCCTGCCTTGGTGTTCCTGGGACCAGCCCCGCGAGGCTGCTGAGGGGCTGCCAGCCACTCGTCAGTTATTAGCCTACAAAGCTACTCTCACCACTCCACAGATTCTGGGAACCATATGTCCGGAAACAGAGAGACCAGATATATATTTCACAGTATCACAGCTAAATTGAAATGAAATGCTGGCGCCCCTGATGCGGAACGCTGGTTTCAGCTTTTGTGGACTTGTGAGGTTTTTGGCTTGGCTGGTCTAGGGTGGCCCAGGCCAGAGGTTCCCACCACGTTGGGCTGGACTGGAACTGCAACCAAGCCCCCACTGAAGTTTTGTAAGTGTTTGATTCACATTCACTTTTAAGTTCTACTTTAACTATTTAAAGAATTATATTAAACTATGATAAAAACTCCATATTCACTCAGGTGTGGAATAGAAAACATTAGCCTCATGGAGACTACCTCAAAAGAAAGCGTTGTCTGCCATGCTTATAAATTAAGGCTTTCCAGAAATCATGCAATCAAAGCAAAATAGGAATAACTGGATGCCAAGGATGAACTAGGCCTGCAGGTGTGTTCATAGCCCCATTCCGCACTGTCATTCTCAGGGCATCCTCACTGTTCTCGCTAGTGTTATAAACGTTACCTTGTAACATAACCCTGATACTCTGCTTATGTTTTATTTCCTTGAGATTTAGTGAAGATTTCCTTTGAAAGCAGGCTTCTGTTACTTAAAAAAACAGTGTGCAGCTCATATTTTTCACCCTCATTCTGTCTTGTGCCCTTGCCCCATGCCCCTCTGGGAAGAGCTGGTCCCTCCACTGACTCATTCCCTTATCTGAGATGTCCTTTCTGCCACACACTATCGCTTTCTGGGAGCTGTCTCACGGAGTGGCAGTCCATGTTGGGAGGTAGAGTCATGGGGCATCCCGGAAGCCCCTAAGTTACGGACAGATTCTCACAGAACTCGTGGGCACTGGGCCTGCCTCTGAAGGATGTGCAGGACAGGCAGGGGCAGCAGGTAGCAGCCAGGTGGGCCATGACAAGAGAGGAAAGGAGTCAGTTCTCAAGGTGCAATGCCGGGCCACAGAGCTCGGAGGTTTTCTGGAAGAGGCTGGGAGCCTCTGGAGGCTTCTACATCTCAACAAATCTTTGCAGTCCGAAGAGACAGCTCAGTGCCCTGTGGCAGACAGCCTGAGCGAGACTCATTGAGAAGCTGTTGCAGTAACGCAGGCGAGAGGTGACCGGCATGTGCGTGGAGGCAGAGGCTGTGGGGAACACAGAGGGAAAAGGGCATGCTGACAAACCGGAAGGAGCAGGCAGGAGAGGGCTCCTCTCAAGAACAGCCCCATGTGCCCCTGGCATCCACCCACAGGGGTCCTCCCTGGGCTCAGGGCTCTGCTCAGTTTTCGACTTTGTGGAATGTTTTTGGAACAGGCCCCCACAGCGTGGCTGGCATTCGATTTCCTCCTCGCCACGCCGCACATCTGCGGCCGCTGTGATTCAGATGGGAAGTGCTTGCTCTGCAATCTAGCTCATTCAGAAGTCCTGTCTCCCAAAGTGCTGCGCTGCTGACAATTTTTCCCATTGTGTGTGGAGTTGAACTTCCCTTCCCCCTCCCTGCCGTGTTCTGGGATCACCCTGCAAGTCTATTTGAAATCCAGAAACTCCTGAAAGGCCTTAAGTAGCTATTCAGGAGTGAGGAAATGGCAGTGAGGTAGTTGCACGTGCAGCTCTATTTTAGGATGTCCTGGTGGGCTCATTCCTTGGTGAGGGGGCAATGGTCACACCAGGACTAATTGTGCTACCCTTTGCCTTTCCTATGCAGCGCCCGGGGCCTGGAGAAGGCCAGGCAGCAGCTCCAGGATGAGGTCCGCCAGGTCAGCAGTCAGCTGCTGGAGGAAAGGAAGAAGCGTGAGACCCACGAGGCGCTGGCCCGGAGGCTCCAAAAGCGAGTCCTGCTGCTGACGAAGGTATGGGCCATCCTCCCACTTTCGTGTTCCTACCCTCTCCTCCTTGGCACCCTGCCTTCCTCAAGGTGTACTGCCAAGTCAGGTGCACTCTCAGCCCCTGTGATTGATGCCCTCACTTCTTGATCAGTTGCATAGAGCTGCCTGTGGGTCACATGCTTGGTCAGAATGAGGTTTCTTCCCCCTGAAGGAAAGAGTCTTGGTGGTTTGCTTGGCTGTGGGCTTTTGTCCTGGGTCCTTCCAAGGAGGGTCTTTGGAAAGCCGGAAAGAGTTTTCCCAGCCCCAGTATTCTCTTTGAGACTCTCAGGGCCTGGCGTGGGTTCCACTTTTCTCAGTGCTTCTCCAGCATCCCCGGGGTCCACCCCTGGCCTGGTGTTGTGCCCTGGGGGAGCTTTTTGTGTACCTCCTACCCTCTGCAGTGGCCCACATCTCTTGCAGTGGGTAGAAAACCTCTTGTTTCAGTGGGCAGAGCAGCCTTTCTGTCCTTTGGCTCCCAATGTGGATGAAGCTGCCATGGGTTTGGGCAGGGTTTGGAATGAAGACTGTCACCTGTTTCCAGGTGCTCTGGCAGAATCTGTTATTGTGCCCAGCACCAGCTGTGGGGGCGGCAGACTGTCTGCTTCTCCCTAATTGTTCTGTGCCTGAAGGGGTTCTAATGTCTGGTGCCATTAAGCAGGGGTTGCTGGAGTGTGAAAGGCTTTGTGAATGTTGTTTAAAATGTTACCTTGGACGCTGAAACTACAGAAGACGAGACAGGAAGAGGCCGAATCTGTTCCCAAGTGTTCTCTGGGCCAGGGCAGGGTGTCCAGCTTGCTGGGCAGAGACTCCCCTTGCCTGCCTCAGGCTGATACTGAGTGGGAGGAGGGCTCTGCTGCTCATCCTCTGGGCCCTGGGGGAAGGTGGTGCACCTGGGAAATGCCAGGAGTTATACCTGGCAAATATCTGCTTGTTCCCGATTGTTTTTGATGGAAACCTAGGCTCTTTGCCACTGGGAGCTCCCGTTTATGGGGTTTTTAGAAGATGTGTTACAGTTCACCTACTAAGGCTGCTATTTCATGGCTTCTCCAGCAAGTTTCCTGGCAATGCTATACTGTCTCCTGTAAGAAGACCTCACGTTTGTCTTGGTATCATGTGGAACCTGAGTCCTACAGACATCACATGGGGTTTCCTGAGACATGGGCTAGGCCGATCCCTCTGTGCACACCCCAGATGCTGACTCTGAAGCCTGGCTTTGCAGGTAGACCCAGCGAGGGGAATTTAAAAAAATGTCCTCACATGGCTGTTCGGCCAGAGCTCCCTGTTGCCTCTGACTAAGGGGGTGGCCCAGGCATGTTGCACGACCCATCGTGGGGGTTCCTGTGGAGCAGTGCTCTAGGACCTCGCTCCACTTCCTATCGCTCCCCAGACATCTGCTGTGTGCCTGCCAGCATCAGCTTGTAAGCCTGATGTGAGTTGCGCCCAGCACACATGTGTGGGCACAACCCTTATAGAATTCATGCCCTGTCAATGGGCAGGCAGGAGCAAAACACAAGCACCTAACCACCAGCCTTGGCAGAAACAAGTGGCACAGTGATCATCCCAAAGGGATTTTCTCAGGAGGTGATGTTTAAGTGAAGACCTGAGGCTTTCTGGATTATGAAAACATGCGTGGAGAATTTGACCTTTTTAAGTACAGATCCATGACTGGGAGAGAGATGAAAGGTTGTCCAGATGTGTGGGAACACACGAAAGACAAGTTGGATTCAGCAGCCGGCAGTGTGAGTTTGCCGTTGCGGCAGTTCAGGCATGTTCAGCATGACCCTGGTCCTTCAGCTGCTGGTGATGGTGAAGAGACTTGGACAATCAGCTAAGGAGCTCAGGATCCTGGGAGGCAGGTGGGGAATGAGGCTGTGTTTGGTTGGGATCACCTTGACGAGCTGTGGGTGTGCAAAGGAAGACATGCTGTAGTCCCGTGACGTGGGAAGCTTCCCATGGGAGGACTTGGCTGGGAATCTGGCCTTTCTCTGGAATCTCAGAACATCGCTCTCTGGGTCTGTTGTCTTCTCTGTAACACAAACAGCTCAGGCCCAATGATCTGTCTGCATATTTCACACCGTGGCAGCCTAGCACGTTCACATTGTTGGTTCTTACTTAGACACTGCTCACAAGGTGTTGTGCAGGACCTGTAGAGACATGGTTCCCTGCCCCCTCTGCAAGGCAGGCTCTGGGGAGCCCCATGCCAGGGAGACAGAGCTTCCCACCTTTTGGACCAGGCTGTGCCCACAGCCTGTGAGGAAGCTGAGTAAGCCAGCGTCTGTCTTGATGTCACTTAAGAACTCATCCGCCGTTTCACGTTGGCTGTGGGTCTGCAGCCCTTTCCGGAGTGGAGGTGCCTTAGGCAGGTTGTTTCAGTCCTTTCGCCTGCCATAACAAGATGCCACATCCTAAGCAGCTTATAGGCAACGGATTTATTCTTCACAGTCCTGGAGCAGGGAAGTCCAAGAGCAAGGTGCTGGCAGAGTCCGCTTCTGGTGAGGACCACTTGGTTCACAGATGGTGCCTTCTCGTTAGAAGGGGAAGAGGACTTCCTAGGATCTCTGTATAGGGCACTAAGCCCATTCATGATGGTCCCCCCTTGCCCACATCACCAGTCAGAGGCCCCTCCTCTTAATAGCATCACATCTGGGATTAGGGTCTCAACCCAGGAACTTTTTCTAGGGCGGCACACTCAGAACATAGTATAAGTCTATTAAATGAATCTAGGCCGAGATTGATTCAACAGGTTTAGAAGTCATGCTGGTGGAAGGCTTTGAGGTCTGGTTGGATTTTGTTTTGTCCTCTGCCCAGGTCCTCTGCTGGTGGTTAGTGATGAGCCACCTACAGGATAGAATGGCAGCCCCTCGGCATGGCCCAGAGACCCCTGGGGTGAGCAGAAGTCTGCCTTGCCTGCTCACTGTTGCAGCATCCCCCCTTTGGCCAAATTCTGCTGCCTCCACTTGTTTAAGTCATGTTACTCTCTATAACATAGATAGTGTGGGCACTGAAAGCTTAGACTTAGCATGGCACTTGGTGCACACCCAGGGATCCAAGCCTCTTGTGTGTATTTTCCTGCTTACTTGGGTTGTACTCGACTCTCAAGGTCCCTGCCCTCCCTGTCCATCTGGAAGGCGCCTCCACAACCTGCAGGTGGAGCTGTCACTTCTTTCTCCAGACTCCCGTGGCACTTCGCTTGTCTCTCTGTCCATGCTCAGCCTACAGGGTGTCATATCTGATCCCAGGGCCAGTGGCCTGCCTGGCCTTGCTGGCTCCTGTCTGAAAGAGACTGTGTAGGGCTTGTGTTAGCAGGTGCTCAGCAGTGCTTGCTGTGTGAACCACTCACAGACCACTGTATCTCTAGAATGAGCTCGTGCACCCCCGTGGTTGTCTGTGAGTTCTCACTGCTGGGTTTACAGGCAAGCCCGTTCTCCAGCCTGGCTGTTGTCTGTTCAGACCTACTTGGGGATGAGTGCACTCTGCTCCAGGTGTGGCAGGGCTCAGCGATAGCATCGTGTTTGGTTTCACACAGTGACTTAAAAAAAAAAAACACAACAACTTCATTTTCTGGGGGAACAGTTTTGGATTTACAGGAAAATTGTGAAGAAAAGTCTGCGAGTTCCCATATACCCTGTACCCAGCATCCCCTGTTATTAACAGTTTGCATTAGTGTAGTACATTTGATATAATTAATGAGCCAGTGTTGACACATTATTATTAACGAAAGTTAATACTTTCTTCAGTTTGCCTTAGTTTTGAACTAATGTCCTTTTTCTGTTCTAGAATCCCATCCAGGACACCGCATTACATTTAGTTGGCACACCTCTAGAGACTCCTCTTGACTGTGACAGTTTTTCCCATACTTTTTGTTTGATCACCTTGACAGTTTTGAGGAGTGCTTAGATGTTTTGTAGAATGTCTCTCTTTGGGGAGTTGTCTGATGTTTAATCATGATTGCCTGGGGTTGTGGCTCTGGGGAGCAAGACCTCAGAGGTGAAGCAACGTCTCATCACGTCATATCCAGGGTGTACGCCATCAACATGACTCCTGTGATGCTGACCTGGGTCACCCAGCTGAGTTGTGTCTGTCAGGTTTCTCCACAGACAAGTTATTCTTTTTTTCCCATTTTCCACTTTTGTTCTTTGGACTGAAGTCATGGTGTGCAGCCCACACTCAGGTGGGGAGTTAGTTTCCACTCCTTGGGGCTAAGAGTATCTACATACTCTTTAGAATTCTTTCGTGATTTCTTTAGAATTCAGGTGATTTGTTTTTTCTCCACTTATTTATTAAGTTAGTCATGTATTTATATCGGATGGTTTCGTGGATGTTTGTTTTAGATTTGGGGTTTTACTCCAAAGCTACTGATTCCGGTTGCTTGGCATTGGGAGCTCTTTCAGCTGACGCCCGGGTCCTTTTGGCCTAGCCCCATCATGGGGGGCTCAGTGTGCATTGACTGGTTTGTGCCGAACACTTCCTTACCCCTGGGACCACAAGGGGCTCCGAGTTCATCTTGTGCGTTTCCTGTCCCAGTCCTAGAATCAGCGGTTTCTCCAGGGATCCCTGGCTCCTTTTATTACAGATGGTTTTAGAGACCAAGATCTGGGCTCTCGATGTGTCTGCTGCTAGTTGGGTGCTGTGGGCTCGGGGCCTCCTCTCCTGAAAGTACCAGGAAATGAGTGTGTGCACAAACTTGTTTGTATGTACATCCATGAGGACTTCCCCAGTGACCTTCTGCATTAGTGTGAGACGAAACATGAGCATATACACGTATCCTCAGCTTTAGTCCAGCCCCTTGTGGATCATTCTTGCCCCTGTCTTATCTGAAAACTCTTACTCCACCAGCAATAAGCCTGACTCTGCACATCCACCATCCATTCACTCAGGTACTCTATTCTATCAGTGTGTAGCACTATCAAGAATTGGTAATCTCCACTGGTGATTTTCTGAAACTTTTTATTTTGAAATATAGGTTCACATGAAGTTGCGAAGGT